CAGTTCAGAAAACAAGGCACTATAACTATTTTTATCAGCTACATTAATACATTGAAGATCTATGTACCCTTTCGTGAAATATACAACATTTGAGTACAATATGGTTTTACGTAGGTCAGGTTCAATTCACCCAAGGCACACACTGTTTTTTGTTTTTTTTTTCCCTTATTTTTCTCTTTTCGGTTACTTTTTTGAAGGCTTGTCTTAAAGTTTCAGAATTGCTATAAACGAAGACTTCCAAAGGTAGAATCAAATGTTGCAACTTGAAACCAAACCAAAGCAAAAAAAAAAAAAAACAAACCCCAAAACAAAACAAAAAACCACGGTTAGGACTGTGAAGTGCAAAAACACGTTACAAGAACAGTAATTCAAAATGGAAATGTTCAGAACTGCCGGAGTCAGAGAAACATATTGGCAAGTCCCCTGACTGCCCCCACGAAGGCCCCTAGTCCCTGTATAATCCATTATTTCTCTCCCACAGGGATATGGACAAACACAGAAAGTCTCAAGTGAAAGAAACGTTTTCCAATTAATTTTTTTTTTTTTTCCTTTTCTTTCTAACCAGGCAAACTTAATGTATTCATTTAGGTATAGTGGTTTGGAAGAAACCATTAGACACTGAGGTGGGGTGGTTAAAGTCTGAAAGAAACCATTGGAAGATGAGGCAGTGGGGCTGGAGGAGGGTAAACTACAAGATAGGAGAAAGAGAATTTTCCTTGAGCATGGGAATATAGTGATTACTATTCAAGATGAGGAAGGTATCAAAATAGGAGAGAAAAACAAACGCCCAAACCTGCTCAGGAACTAAAGACAGAGTTTGCTTCTTGAGGCTAAAGAAGTTCAGAACTTTAAATTTAACTTAAAACCCAAACCCATAGCCGACAGCGACCCCGCAGGGCAAAGAAGCGCTGCCCCTTCAGGTCTGCACGTCAAGTTTTACGGAAGCTAATTGTGTTTCTCTTGTAGAGTGGCTGGTGGGTTCGAACCTCCAACCTTTCAGTCAGCATCCAAACGTATTAACCACCGCGCCACCAGGGCTCCTTAAACAATCCTGCTCTGAAGATGAATAGATATGCTGGCTCAGCTCTTTTCCAAAAGACATGCTTCTCTTGCCCAAAGCCCTGCTTGCTTATCAGAACATGGTTGGGCATGCGCCCACCAGAGGACCTGCCTAGCGCCATAACTGCTATGGATTTACAGCAAGAAAACAAGTACTTGGAAGTGTAAGGGAGGTCTCTACTCGGGGGAGAAAATTCACAATCTGGCTGCTCCCATCACAGCCCAGGAACGAATGGAAATGCCAGCCCTAAGCCCATTGTACCTTCTAGGGGTCTCCACAGCGGTTGACCTCAACACTAAACATTCTGAATCATACATGTTTCAGTTTCCACACTGAAAAGATCTTAACTATGAAGGCAAATTAGGTATATGAAAAAGGAGCATTTGTACTCTTTGATGAAAGCCGTTATCTGGTCATCGGATGGAGGTAAAGCTGGCAGAGTCAGATAACCTTACAATATAGATTGCAGGTTTGGCAACATTTTTTGGTGTGTAATTCAGACAGTTCCCACTGTTTTCAATCAGAACCACAACCTTTTATTTTATTGGTTTTTTTTGTTTTTTGTTTGTTTTTTTTACAGTGATTTTAGTTGCCGTACAAGAAGATTTAAGGATTGGGAGAAAGTGCAATAACAGGGACTTTTTTTTTTCTTATTGTTGTTTTGTTTTTGATTTTAAATAAAGTTTAAAAAAAATTAGAGCCCGAAAGTGACAGCCATGTAGGTGATGGAAACATGTTGTTACAGAAATGATAATAATGGGAAATGTGGTAGCTAGGGAAAAAAGATTTGTTTTGTTAATGGGAAAATCAGTGTTTGTGGCCCACACAGGAAGAGGCATTCCCAGATCAACTGGATAATGCTTACTTGTTCAAGAACCCAGAAAGAAAAAAAAAAAAAAAATCACCATTTTATTATCTGAAGTACCACAAATAATTACCTTTGTGATATGTAAAGTTCAGCAAATCAACAGTCACATTAAGTCATCTTTATATTATCTGAAGGAACTTAAAATTGCAAAGACACCTCTGGGGGAGGTATTCTTGGCAGGAATACATAATTTACATCTTGAGAGATTTGGGTTTTGTATACACAATCTTACAGAAACTAGGCATATAAATGCAATTTATTTAAATTACAGTATATAACAAAAGTTTATCTTAAAACCTGGGATACTATTAACATGATCTTTATCTGAGCGGTTTAACATTTGTTCCACCATGAAAGAGGGTCCCGGAATAGGGCTTGGGACTAACGTGTCCCAAAGCGGGGGATCATGGGTAGTGACTGGGATGAAGAACTATTGCTTTCTGTCGCAAAAATCATCAACACGGAGCTGGAGACGGCTTCATCTCGACAAGGCGTTCGTTTTGTTGCTCGGCGCAGCTTCGGACAGGCCTTGCTAGTTTTCGACGGAGACAATGTACAAATAAATGGTTTCGTTAGCTCTTTGCATCTTGTCTTTAGGTTGGTTTGCATCTGGCTGGCTCCATGTGGCTTGATGTTGCTTTAAGACAAGGAGAAATAACCAGTTGACTCACTGTGTGCCGAAGTCCGGTCAGCCCTAAATCACCACTTTGGGACTGACTGCAGTCTACCTGCGTTTCCCTCAACACTCCACTCGATCTAGCATTTGGCCGGCATTTGAGCATAGCAACAAAAAAAAAAAAGAAAAAGAAAAAAAAAAAAAA